TAAAATGGGCCGAAAAGCCTAAATTGCTGAACGTAGCTTGTTGCATTTTGCTGGTGATGGTGTTGGTTTTTTTTGAGAGACGAGGCAGTTTTGCAGAGGCAGGTGCTAGGATAGATGTCAGGTGTCCTGCTTGTTCCTTGCTCTCCCCCCCCAAGCTGGTGTATCACCACCCCTTCAACCTGAAGGTCTGTTAAAGAGTTTCAGGTTGAAAGCGAAGTCTCCCGTGCCATGAGGAGGGTTTGTAGGAGAGGTGCTTGGACGTGGAGATTTTTGAGCCGTGGGGAAATGGGGTGCTTGGGCTTGCTTTTATTCTGAACTCAAGTGGAAATATGATATGCTAGAGTTTCTCACAACCCTAGATGTTTAAAAAAACCCCACCAGAATTTAAAATTACAGGTATGGGTAACCCTGAAAGGTGCATGATCATCATAGCGTCGCCCAAGGATGCTGAAATGATCTTTACTTTTTTTCCCAGCGCTTTTTTTTTTTTTTTTTTTTTTTTTTTTTTGAGAATCATTCAGATTTCACTGAAACTACCTTTTGCAAAGGCACTCCTTTGCTTCAGCTGGGCCGAGTTTGGAGACTCCAGCTACTGTAACCAGACTCCCTTTGGAGACAGGTCGTGGTGTTCCTGGGGCTCTTGAATCCCTCTGGGGGAGGTTGCAGCCTTCAGCTCCCACGAGACACCCACACTCCTCACCTGCACTCTGCGGTGGGAAAACCCAGCCTTGCTCAGTTGGGGTGAAACTCTTGGCTTTCCCTCTTGATGGGCCTGGGGATTCCTCCCGTGATGGAGCATGGCGGGAGACTGTGGAGCGGTCCAAGTGCTCCGTTTGCCAGGTACAGGGTGGGGAGGAAAGGGATCAGCTCTCTGCTGTGTGTCTGTGAAAAGCAAAGCCCTTCATAAATAGACAGCAGAGTGTCAGGGCAGCAGTGGGGTTTTGGGGAGGTCCTTTCCTCTTTGCGGCGCCTTGCATAGTCTTCACAACTTTTTTGCCGTGTTTTCCCTTTGCTCGTGTTCCTGGTGCCAGGACAGGCTCTTGCTCGTGAGCCTTCTCATCCCACTGCAAACATATCATGATTTACAAGCCTGCTGGAGCATGGCAGTGGGCTCCACGTCTGGCGGAGAGAGGCAGACATCCATTATAACGTGGTGACAGGACAGGGCTGGGACAAACAACGCCTCCTCTTTTGAAATGTAGGAAGAAATAGTCTGTTTCCAGGTTGAGACGCTGCTTTGGATGATTCCTGACATGTCCTGCTGGACAAACTGCCAGCGGGTGCCAGATTGGTTTGTGAAAATGCCTCCACACTCCTTGTGCCTTCGTTTGGTTGGGCCAGCGCCTCTGGCCAGTGTCGGCTGGACGAGACGCAGGTGTCCGATCCCAAAGTGTAAGTTTTCCTCCTGGAGGGGAGGAAGGAGAAGCTCTGTTCCCTCTTTGCCGGGCTGGTGTGCGGGGTGGGAGCTGGGGACCTGCAGATCATGGATGGCAAAAGGCAGCTCTTTGGTGTGGGGAGGCTTGGCCGGCGTGGATGAGGATGAAAAGCATCATCCCTGCTAACTCCTCTCCACCCCAGCCACTAAATAAAGCTTTTTCTATGCATGAAAATGCTGTGGGTTGAAGCTCAGGGCCCTTCACTTGAATTTCCTCTCCTCTCCGGTGTGGTTTAAGGTTGGGGCTGGGGTATTCTTCATCCAGGACTGCGGGCAGTTTGCTGTCACACGGAGCTGGATCTCTCTAGGAGATCCTGGAGCTGAGACACTGGGAGGGAATTTTCTGCCTTAGGAAAACCATAAATCTTTAAATATCCTGTTTCCACTGTGAGATGGATTCGGAAGTTTCCAGCCAGGCTCGCTGGGTGGTGGTGTCTCCCTTGGCGCGGGGTGAGCGTGTGCGTGCGGACGTAAATGAATGCCCCTGGACAGAGCAAATCCCGAGACTTTGTCATGGGGGGAGATATCAAAATGTGAAAAAAAATGGGGGCTCTTCCCAGTGTCCCCAAAAAATCCTGGCCACTGCCCCGGCACTTCTGTCAAGGCCACCTGGCTAGACCCCCACCACGGCTGGGCTATTGCATCTCGGTGTTAGCAAAGCCGAGCATATCCTTAGAGCTGAGTTTACCTCTTGGAAGCTCTGGAGCAACTTTTTTTTTACACCGATGCTCCTTGACTTTGCCTGGTTTTGCTCCGGCGAGCGGCCGAGACGTTCGGCTCGGCTTCACTAGAGGGCGCAGGAATTTTAGGCTAGAACTGCATGGAGATTTGTCAGGGAAAGTTGGCTGCCTTTTCCTCCTTTTTAATCAACTGGAAAGATGCAGGGTTGAACTGGAGGTGACTGGAAGGGGATCCAGACTTGTGTCTGGCTGGGGAAGGATCCGCTGACATCTGGGATTAGGCGGCGTGGAGTGCGGCGGCGGCAAGCGGACGGGACGTTGCGACGAGCCGGCGGTGTGGCCAGGGCTCGCGATGTTGGCTGGCCCTATGGCCAGGAGCTGAAGGCTCCCTCAGATGAGGGGTGCAGCTGGCTGGGGCTGGAGGAGCCTGATAGCACAAGGACAGGTCATAAAAGGGGAAAAAAAAAAAAATAAAAATCCTCCCTCAGCCCCCCAGTGCTAAATGTTCTCCCTTTTTCAGGCTGGGCAGGGGGGGTGTTGACCTCCGTGAGGGCTCAGTCTTCTCTTCGGAGGGTCCCCAACTCTGCGCCTTCGCGAAGCATCACCCCTTGGGCTGGGCACTCTCCTCGTTGGAGTCTGGCGTGGTCTGTGGGGCGGGGGTATGGCCCTGGGCTGGTTCTCTGCACTGCTCCAGCCATTTTATCAGCAGGACCAACAGCATTTCTTGGGAGACTGTTTATTTTTGGGGGTGTGGGGGGTCCCTGAGCCCCTTGCCTGTGGGCAGAGCTGGGGGAGGACAGGTTGGGACCCCCAGGGGCCACCTCCACTGGGATGGTGGCTCCAAGCAGAGCTGTAGACTTGGTGCCCCCTAAGCTGTCCCCTCGCCAGTTTTGCTTTCAGCTGGAGAAACTGAGTCACAGGGAGAGTTTGGAGAGAGTAAGGCGATTCACTGGGAGCCTCTGTCCCCATCCCAAACCCCGCAGCGTGGATGAAGGGCAGACACCAGCCCGGTGGGGAGACTTTGGTGTCCCTTTGCCAGCCCCACTCAGGAGGTCCTGTCCCATCCCCATGGAGCAGCTCGTGGCAGCCAGCTCTCCCCCAGGCAGTACAGCACCAAAACCTGGTGTCCTTGCTCATGGCCACCAGGAACCGGCCCCCTCCCAGCTCACTCTGGACCTTCCCCGAGCAGCCGGGGGACTCGGCTTTAGCACCTCCAGGTTTTCTTTTCCTAGTGGCTGCTTTTTCACCCCCTCACCCAGGCAGCTCTGCCTGAGCATCGCTGCCCTTTCCAGGCTTAAAAATAGCTTGCACCATCTCGCGCGCTCGCCGTGATCTCACCGCGGCCCCGCTGCTCGTTCGTTCATCCCTCTGCTCCGCTTATTCATGCCCCCTCTCCGTGTGGCCATCCGAGGACGGCTGTCTGTCTGCAGGCACATCTGTCTGTCCTTCCGCTTGCATTTTTCTCTCCCAGCTCTCCTCCCACCATCCCGTTTGCACGCTGGTATTTCCACAGGGAGTCTCCAAGCCCTGCTCCACCGTGTATTGTGTGATGAGTTTTAGTCAGGGCTCAGCCCGAGTGCAGCTCGGTATGAAGTGGCTCTTGTCGAGCCTCCTGCCCAGGGCTGAGGGGGGACAGAGGTGTTATTTCACCAAACAAACTCCCAGTGAACGATGTGCATTAGCAATGAGGGGTCGCAGCCAGGAAAATATTACCTTTCCCTTTGAGTGCTGACTGCGGAGGAAATTCTCACATTTACAGCTCCAGTGAGTCCGGCGCTCATGGAAAGAGGGGGCGGCTTTGATTTCTCTCCTCTTGTTGGTTTGATAACTTTTCAGCCCCCCCACTATGCACTGAGCCCCCCCCGGGGACTGGCCACCGGTGGAGGCTATGCAGGCTTGCAGCTCCCTTCTTGGGAGCCTGTTTTAATTTGATTTTCCCGGAGGCCTGGCATGTGGCGGTGCGTGTGTGCGTGCTGCCGTGTGTGTGTGTGTGTGTGTGTGTGTGTAGGTTAATAAAAAATAAACAAACAGCACTTTTTCCTCCGGTGCACTCTGGGAGGGATGCGGCGGGGATGCCGAATGAAAGCGTGTGCTGTGGGCTGCACTGGGGAGGGCTGAAGGGACATTCCTGGCATTGCTGAGCTCCTCGTGCAACGCGCGGGCCCTGGCCCAAATTGGAGTAAGGAGCCATTAGCATCGGGGACCTGGGGAGGCCCATTCCTGTGCAGTGTTTACTCGCAGAGCTTAAATTAATACTGTCTGCTGACATCAGGTTTTTTGCCCGATTTCCCAAGGAAATAAGCTGTGTGCGATCGCAGCCTCTGCGTACGTGTGTGCCTCTCTTCCCCATTTGAACCCCTGCCTCAATTCATCCAGATTTCACAAAGATCCTAAATGCCTCCAAATAATCATCTTAAAAAGTATCTTAAAAAAAGTTGGTTGATAGGCAGGAGAAACCGCCAGTGCCTCCTGCTGAGAGAAAAGTGTGTCTGCATGCGTGCACAACCATAATGTTAGACACTAGAGAATCCCCATGGAAGCGATGCATTAGTAGCATCCAAACCATGGGATGAGTGCAGCTGGGAGCCAGGAGCCATGGAGCTGTGGCAGAACCATCTCCGTCTGTCCTGCTGTGTGCAGGGTGACGCGTTTCCTCTTGACTCCGGTTTGCACCCTGATATTGCCCGTCACTTGTGCTGGGGCTCAGCCTGCAGAGGAACTGCCAGCTGATATTTCTCCATCGACCCTTTTTTGGCAGCTCTTTTAGGAATCAGTGGTTCTGAATGATGAATTCTGGATGATGATGAGCCTTCTGCTCGGCGCAGGAGATGGGTGATACCCATTTCTGTGGGCAGAAACGAAGAGAAAGGTGTTGGGGCTGTGTAAAAAAATCTCCGCTTGCTCTCTTTTGTAGGTTTTCTCCAAAATCTTCAGCCACGAGGCACTGGAGAGTTATCTCCCCAAGATCCAACTGGTGATCAAAGACACTCTTCGGGCCTGGAGCAGCAACTCTGAGTCCATCAACGTCTACCACGAGACCCAGAAGCTCACCTTCCGCATGGCCATCCGTGTCCTGCTGGGCTTCCGCATCCCCGACGAGGAACTCAACCGCCTCTTCGAGGTCTACCAGCAGTTTGTGGAGAACGTCTTCTCCTTGCCGGTGGATCTGCCCTTCAGCGGCTACAGGAGGGTAAGAGGTTGGGGCTGAGGCCTCCACCAGCCACTAACATCAGTCTGGGGTTAATGTGACAGGGGCTAATCCCCACCTTTACGGGTTCTTGGTGGGATGTTTTCTCACCCTCTAGAACTGAGTCCGTTTGGGGCTACAAAGCTCTGTTTTGGTGGAGTGGAGGGGAAGATCCATTCGGAGGTTTTTAGAGTGGTAGGGACCATGTGGTTTGACTCAAGAGAGAATGAAGCCAGAACTCGCCCAGATTTAATTCATAATTTTACCTCACTTCTAACTGGCAGTTTTGCCGCATTTTTTAATTTGTGGGGCCTTTCTCCTGTTAATTCCCTCCTGTCCCCAGGGTGAAACAGGGTCATTCTGAGAACTATTCTAGTTTTTTGACGAATGATGCAAAATGAAAACGTAACAAAAAACATAGACCAAAAAAAATTGTATTTATTTCATGGGGAATTTTGGTAACAGAAATAGAGGGGTTTAAAATTTATTTTGGGGGATTATCCCTGCAAATTCTATAATTTTTATTTGACCACGTGAATGAGCCCAACGATTTGCAGCCCTGAAGCACTGGCAGCAGGTAATTATGGTTAGGCCAGAGCAGCTGCACTCAGGAATTGCTTTACTGGGACCAGGTGATGAAATTGCTTGGGAAGGCCATTACGCTCCTGGGAAGAGGATCCTTTCAGATGAATTGACTTTCCTTTGAGAGATCATTTTCCCAGGGACTGCTGTACATCCCAGAGTGAGCCAGGGGCCTGTGAACTGGTGCAGTACTGGGTCTCCCACATCAGACCTATCATTTGCACGTAGGTGCTGATTGCTCTTGCCTGTAATCTCGCCCACTAGGGGCTTGCTCCTCCTGCCCAGGGAGCAACTTCAGCATCTTTATACTTCTCTTTGAGCATCTGAAATTGCAGTTGTATTATTTAGACGTGTCCTGAGCACGTCTCTGGGGATGCTGGGCCGGGGATGGCGGTGCTAACGTTGTGTCCTGTGTGGTCTGATGGCTTCCTGCTCCCCAGGGCATCCGGGCACGTGAGACGCTGCAGAAGGGGCTGGAGAAAGCCATCCAGGAGAAACTGCAGAACACGCAGGGCAAGGACTACGCTGATGCGCTGGACATCCTGATAGAGAGTGGCAAAGAACACGGCAAGGAGCTCACCATGCAGGAGCTGAAGGTAAAGATCCTCCCCATGGTCCCCTTGTGCTTGTTGTGCTCAGGGCAGGGGCTCCCGAAGAGCAAAGCGTGAGCTGCTGTAGGGAGGATTTTTTGGGGCAGCTCTGAGATGATCAGGAAGAGCCGGGGGACCTCAGTGTGCTGTTGGAGCTGCAGGTGAATGCTGGTCTGGTGGATTATGGTGCCAACAAGCCAGTTGCTTTCCTACGGGCCATATTTATTTGCAAGTCATGCTCAGCCCTTCCTATAAAGCGTTTCTGGGGAATACCAGAAGACTGTACAAGTCTGTTGAAGCTTTCAGCCTTGATCAGCTTCATCCCCTGACCCATCCAGTTTTATGGTGCCTACTTTTCCGGGCATGTGACCCCTTGGCAAGTTGTTATCTGCATCAGGGTCATGTCATAACTTGTCCTTCATGTGCCATCAAGAGCCATCCCCATGGTTTTTTCTCCTGCCTGTCTGGTCCTTAGCATCCTCCAGGGTTCAGTGGGATGCTCCCTGTGGTGGGTGTTCAGGACCTGTGCCTGCACAAGGAGAGGCCCTGCAGTTCTGTTGGAGGGAAAAAAAAGGCCTTATGGCAGGCTGTGCACTTCTCTGTCTGCCCGTCCCCTGTGTCTCACCCTGGCTTTGCTCTTGTCTCTCAGGATGGCACCCTGGAGCTCATCTTCGCTGCCTACGCCACCACCGCCAGCGCCAGCACCTCTCTGATCATGCAGCTCCTCAAACACCCCCGGGTGCTGGAGAAGCTGCGGGAGGAGCTGCGCAGCAAGGGCATCCTCCACAACGGCTGTATCTGCGAGGGCTCCCTCCGCCTCGACAACATCAACAGCCTCCACTACCTGGACTGTGTCATCAAGGAGGTGCTTCGCCTCTTCACCCCCATCTCCGGGGGGTACCGGACGGTGCTGCAAACCTTCGAGCTGGATGTGAGTGTTGTCATCTCTGCGGGCTGCTCCCCAAAACAGCCTTTTGCATGTTGTTGCAAAGCTTGCTTGAGCCTGGCTCAGATGAGACCTCAGGGAGGACAAATTTGGTCCTGCTGGGGATGGGAGGTGAAATTGTTCTGGATTCAGAGGAGCGTGACGGGATCTGTGGCAGGGAAGGGACACACTCGAGCTGTCAAAGCGAAGACAGGCGTGATGCTTCAAAGAGCAACTCGTGACGGTGTTTGACACCAAAATCTGAACTGGGGTGTGACAAGGGACAGGTTTCCTGCAAAGGGCATCTCCAGGTTGCTGGATGGCAGGCAGATTACTCACCGCGATGGCTGGAATTTCCTACTAACAAAACAAAATCTTGAGACCTGGCTGTAAATCCTACTAATGAAATTATTCGGGTCGGAAACCTTTTAGAGTGCTCAGGGGATGATACATTCGCCCCGTTTCTCATCTCCCAGGCCCTGACGTGTGCGTTGGGTGTGTGGGGCTGACAGACGGCGGGGTGTGAACAAAGCCATGGGTTGGATGCTCTGGGGAGGGCTGGCCGATGTGGGGGGCACGGCACGGGCACAAGAAAAGCTGCTTCCCTTTGCTCGGCAGCAGTCGAGCACCACGGGGTTCCTGGTAGGCGACTCCTGCCAGCAACCGCAAAACAAATAAATAGCAACGGATCATCCGGCGGGTCCCTGGGATAGAGGCAGGAGTAAACCCAGGATTCCCACCTCCCAGCGCTGCTCTCTCTGGTTTTCTTTTAAATCTGCATCATGCTCGAGTAATAAACCCAAAGAAAATGGGAAAAAGCAGACAAAGCAAAATGGCTTTATCTTGTCCTCCTGCTCCCTTTCTCTTGACAGTAGGGTTTGACTTGCTCTGGTTTTCTCTCCACCCCTTCCCTCTTCTCCTCAGGGTTTCCAAATCCCAAAAGGCTGGAGCGTGATGTACAGCATCCGGGACACCCACGACACCGCCCCCGTCTTCAAGGACGTGGACATCTTCGACCCCGACCGCTTTGGGCAGGGTCGAAGCGAAGACAAGGACGGCAGGTTCCACTACCTCCCCTTCGGAGGAGGCGTACGGACCTGTCTGGGCAAGCACCTGGCCAAGCTCTTCCTCAAAGCATTGGCCATCGAGTTGGCCAGCACCAGCCGCTTCGAGCTCGCCACCAGGACTTTCCCCAAAATCACCCTGGTGCCCGTGGTCCACCCGGTCGACGGACTCAAGGTCAAATTTTTCGGACTGGATTCCAACCAGAACGAGATCCTGACGGGCACAGACGCCATGCTGGGGGCAACGGTGTAAAGCCCACACCGGTGGCGCGAGGGACGGGCGGCCGGGGGACGGAGGGGTG